GTCCGTTGGAGATAGCTGCAATTGGTAATGGCCATGCTATGGATGTAAAAGTTCGGAAAGGAACGATTATGAGAGACGGTGCTGATATCAGTGACAAATTGTGGATCATGAAAGGTGGAAGATCCTCGGATCAACTACTTGAGTATGATTCGGAGATTGATCAAGAATATCAGCTAGTTTCACGAGCCCACACTCTTCCGTTCAGATGTGAAGGTACAGGTCATGTGATTTACAGTGGCAATCTTGTCTGTCAAAAGGCAGACAGTAATGTAGTCGTGAAGTATGATTTACAAAAACTCTTGATTGTGGCAGAGGTAAATTTAGGAAAAGCGGGAGTTGCGGGTACTTATCCCTATCAATGTGGTGGATATACGGATATCGATCTGGCCGTTGACGAACTCGGATTATGGGTCGTTTACGCAATGCCTGATTCTGCAGGCAAGATGATGATCAGTAAATTAAATCCAGATAGCCTGATGATTGAGAAAACGTGGATGACTCGATACCCCAAAGCAATGGTAGGAAACACGTTTATGATCTGCGGTGTCCTTTATGGGACCAATTCTTACAAGGATTCACCAACTTACATCAAATACACGTACGACACCGAAACCGGGCGAGACAAAATCCTTAAAGAAGGCTACATCAATTTTGCAAATGGGGTAAAACAGAAGCAGTCGAATACAGTAATGTTAGACTATAACCCTGGGGATAGACGTCTTTATGCATGGAATAACGGAAAAGGTGAATTGTACCCCGTGTTCTTTCGCGAAATACCGTAATTAGAGAAAAACTGATTTCTCTGTATAACAATCATGTTGTCACTATAATCTTTATACTGCACACCAGGCCATTATGTGCAATATTTGTAATCTAGAATACTTTAGCTATTGTTTTGATTTTTCTTTGTCTTATAAACACAGACCGTATGATTTGTGGAATATTTGTGTTCTTGTAAGAACATTTCGGATTCAATATGTGTGTGGACTTCGTGTGCGGGATCATTTGAAGACTGGATGTTCGCATTTGAATCAATCATGGATTATTCCCCTTTGATCTCCCGCCATTTTCAATTAGCTGTCAAAGTTGTAAACAAAATGAGTAAATCGAAAGATGCTGGAGTCGTGGACGCCGTAGAGTTGTATCTGAATAGACAAAACAGACCTTACAGTGCTGTTGATATTTTCAATAATTTAAAAGATTTTGGTAAAACTGCAGTGGTTAAAGCATGCGAGTCACTTGTTGAAAACAGTCGAATCACAGAAAAGGTTTATGGAAAACAAAAAGTGTACGTTGCCGATCAGTCTAAATTTTCAGACGTTGATGAAAATGAGATCAAGCAAATGGACGCTCGAATTGTAGAATTATCAGAAAAGGTGTCAACGAAGCTTGAACGAGTGAAAGCCTTAGAATCAGAAGTGAAAGGATTTAACAACGCCCTTTCAACCAAAGATGCGAAAGCTCAGGTCGCCAAATTATCTGAAGAATGCAAAAAATGTTCAGAGAAACTCCAAAAACTTTCAGAAGGTCAAGTACTTATTTCTACCGAAGATAAAGAAAAGGTCTACAAATGTCGTGAAAAGTATGTGAAGGAATGGCGAAAAAGAAAAAGAATATCGAATGAAATTGTCAACGCCATTTTAGAAGGTTATCCAAAATCAAAGAAAGAACTTTTAGACACTATTGGAATTGAGACAGACGAAGATATTGGTGTTGTTGTCCCGAATGTATGAACTCAAACTGTTTGTAGGCTAATGTACTCGTGACACACATGTGATGATGAATAAAGTTGTTTCTTAACCTTTTCTTACTGTCTCGAGCCGCACAAAATATGATCTCTTTAGGCCTAATCTTAAGGTCTACATGTTAACTCGATCAGTGCCTCTGCCTCTTGTTAATAGTGGGTAGTAGGCCTATATTGAAAAAATACTCTACTTCATGGATTCCCGATCCTTTGATTTCTTACTTCTTCCGTTTTCACGAATAGATGCCTCCGGATCCCCTTTGCCAATCAGAAGCATGTGATAAGTAAACGAGAATTTACATTAATCTATGGATTGTTATCATTTTCGATCAAGCGCTGATATTTTAGGACACGAGTGTGTTATCTAGGCTACTTGGCCGTTGAGGTACCCTCAGTTGGGAACAAGTGCTCTATACCATTGGAAATGAAAGGTTGAAGGTTGGGTGGTAAGAAAATAAAATTTATATTTCCTGGCAAAATGTACTCTGGTGGGGTATTTTCCGGGCCCCTCCTATAAAATATTGGAGTGACTGTCAGGTTGCTATACCATGGATTTCGCTTCCCCAAAAATCACCCACAAGAAACGGACTCTAAATGAGTTACCATTGGGTTATACTTGTATACATTTAGTTAAGTTTTCGGTGGGTAGACAAAAAGTTTGTTGTTTATCCTTAGAACAACAAGGAAACAAAAACAAATTTTAAATATTTTTTAATTCTATAAATAAAAAAAGGTATTTACAAATACTTTTATATAGAGCAATAATTCAAAACGAAATATTGTATAGTGTCAAATTATGTCACTTTAGAAATAGTAGCCTAAAGTGAAATGGTGGTCATTTTTGTGTTTGGAATAACTTCGAGCATGTGCGCTTGGCGGATCATACCAGCCAATTTCTCGAACAAACTCTGAGGTTCCTATATACCTAAATATATGGCCCTCAGACTACCTGTCTCTAAACACCCCTACAGTGATTCAAAATAGGTTTTCTGTGATAGTTTTACACCATTCCGACTAGGGTGTCTGACATTCCATTTGATTTTCGTTAGTAATATGCTGCAATTTCACTTGAATTTCAGAGGGGAAAAATTGTAATTAAATGCCAATTCAATAAGTTAGTTCAAACATTATATAGTGAATATTGAATATATATCCGCATAACAAATGACCATAGTAACTCTATGAGCCCCAACATAATAATATGGTAATTTGAAGTAACAATCGTTCCAAATCTATATCAAAATTTATCGATCACATTTATTAAGAGCCTACAGGCTCGGTTAACAACTTTAACAAACTCGTATATCAACTTAATACTCATTATTATGTAGTCAGAATATTTACATACAACTAACCGATCTACCTAAATAGAGTAAATAGCCTATCAGATGAATACTTATAAATATATTATCATTATCATTATCTATATTATAAATTCATTTGGAAATTCAGGAACACTATTTTCAACCATTTAAATAATATTTACATAAATTTACATATATTTACATATTCAACATTATCACAATTCATAAACAAAAAATATGTATTGTCTGTTGGATATATTCTGTTTGCACAGTCGGAGCCTTTTCAAAACCTAAACGCCAGTGAATACAGCCGATCAGATCCTCGACAGAAAGACTTTTGATTGGTTATATTCGCTAGCGCTCAATCCAATCAAATAGCTTCATTTACAAACTTCCATTATACAAGAAAGGTATCTGGTATTGCTAAAATCTGAGATGAAATTTTTTCATACGCTTTTGAATTCGGAAATATATCGATGACCTCAATGCCATCTGGAGCCAGAAAAACAGACGATGTATTTGTTGCGTAAAGTTTTGAAAATCTCATGTGGCATTGCGCATATTCTTTCATATTCTTGAATGAACCATACTGCTAACAATATAAATTTCAATGTTATTCTTCATTTCCGGTTGGGTCGATTGGTGTTATTATTATCTAATCCCAAAGATAACCAAACTGCATAATATATTAAAAAAGACCCGCATCAGCCCCTGGGCTTTCACAGGAGATGATGGCTGGAATCATAATGTAAATGAGACCATATATCAATCCTGGAACACCCGATTCCAGTCTGTGACTTGCGGATTAACAACAAAGCATCTCTTTCGAAGAGTCCAAATGGAAAATAACACATTCTCTATAAACTATAAACAAGTAGTGGCTTCTGATTTTGAATCAACAGTTTCTGAACTTTCTAATTTGAGCTCAGCAGATTCTGAAAGTTCTTCAGGAATCGCTTCTTTGGAAGATTCAATTTCAGGAGAAGGCTGGAATATGAAAAAAAAACAATGGTTGTTATCCCACTTTCATAACACAAAAACATTTCATTGCTTAGGGAATATAAAATAATATAAAAAAAAACAAGCACAAACTAAAGTATAACAATTATAAATGAGTAAATATTTCATTATGAAAAGTGGTCCGCATAGCACCGCATGATACATTATACTCATCTTGCTCAATGAAAACGAAAAGTGATATCCTATCTTTTGCAATGTCAACCAACCATAGCATTCAGCGAGTCCAAAAGCCTTCTAGCCTTCTAGAAAGGAAATCAGCGGCGGTAATTGGTACCGCGGTATTTTGAACCTTCAGTAAGTTGGAACCTACCTCTTTAGTATGAATTTGCTGTAATGTTTGTGATAATAATCTGACCATATCTTCCTGGATTGAAGCTAAACGATCTATTCTCTCTAAACCTTTATTATATACATCGCTAAGATTATCCTATAAATAGAAAACCAAGTTTGCGATACTGACCTACAGAGTATCTTTTCTTCCTGTGGAAATAGCGATTGTGTCCCTTAGTTTGCATACAGATGACACATTAATTCATTTTATAACTTATAATTTTGGTTATAGACTGAATACCAGAGCGGACTCAATCCTCTCTTATGGTGAGCATCTCTGTGATGCCAGATGCATTCGTTGGAATTCTAGTTGCTCTTGAACACTGCCTCGGGATTGAAATGGCTGTAAACCAAAGTAGGATGTGCACGGACATCCTTGACTTCCCTTATATAATAATTTGATATCTGGTATGGGTGTATCATGGACGTGTGTTCCGCCATGAATGGGGTTATTGGGCGAAGATTTCATTGAACTGGATTGCTTCCCTTCAATTACAGTAAACCAACCCCTAAAAGAGCATTTGACGAAGGACCAAATGTTCAAAGAACATGAATGAACTCTACTTACTAATTTTGTTTCTAAAGTTTCTCTGAGGTCTTTTACTTCCGTCTGAATTTTGCTTAATTCCTCGAAATTTTTCTCAGATGTAATGTTGCTGAAATAAAGTATATTTGAAGTTAAGATATGACAAAGAAGCTTTTTCTTAAGTAAACTCGTATTTACCTAGAATTATTCAAATTTTAGCAATTTTAACACCAGTTGGAGATGATCTGATATCACGTATGCTTTTTTTACAATATTTTTTTCAATACACCTGAAGATCACGATATTATGACCTTAATCACAAAAAAGAAACAAAATTTTAGCAACACATAAGCATAAGCACCACCTCCCCTTTTAGTTATGGGCCTGGGTGATGATGTGATATTATGTGATTATCAAAACCGAGGTTATGATCAAAACTTTCGATTATTAACATTCGTGTTTTAGAGTCACACAGTATATATAATAAACACGATACTTACCATATACCAATAAGGGATGATGATCTGATATCATGATTACCAGTTACAGATTTAAAGGACTCCGGCTTGCTGGAAGGTGGTGGACTTACACTTGATTCCCTGCTACTGAAAAAGGGTATACCAATATACAGATTTACACTTGATACAGATTTGCACTTTGTATTAGATTTCGAAAGCTTAAAAATTCATTCAATTCAAGTTTGAATAATATAGTCTCGATCAGTGCCTCTGCCTCTTGTTAATAGTGGGTAGTAGGCCTATATTGAAAAAATACTCTACTTCATGGATTCCCGATCCTTTGATTTCTTACTTCTTCCGTTTTCACGAAAAATTCATTCAATTCAAGTTTGAATAATATAGTCTTCTTATAAAGGCTTCATAGATATTGTTCTCAGAGTATGCTTTTCTCAGTCTCAATATCCTTTTCTGATAGTTTAACTAGCTCAATGGTTTTGATGGTTTTGCATCAAAACAATGTCCCCAGATAGTACAAGTGAAACTATGGTTGGATACATGGCATGGTCTCCGAACACTCCGAGACAATGTTAGCGTATAGTGTAGTCATATGAGATAATTCGGATAAATGTTTTTCATATCCCGTGACACATCAAATGTCACCCCAAAAATATAAAAAATATCCTAGCTAATAATATTCAGTAAATTCAATTGTATCCAATTGTTCAATTAATCACATTATTTACGTTAACGATAAATAATTTTGATTTTTGATTTCGCTTGATAAGGGGTGTTTTATATGCCACATCATGTCATATTCATGGAAGGTTATTTAACTATTTCATTCATTTCAAGTGCTTAACATCAAACCATCTCCTTCGAAATGACCACAGACAACTCTGTGGTCAAAATAAACTGGTTTCATTGACGAATCACTCAGTGACCCGATCAATAGCTAGTTTCTAATGAAGTATTCTTGATTCATGCCTTTAAGCAATGTCTGTCCAAAACAATTTAACTTTAAAAATGTTACTTAAAATTGGTATATATTACTCTAAATTAAGTCAGACTTGTCCAATTTTATTATTTAGAAGGAATTGGCTGATAAAAGTAATTCATTCAAAGGTCATTTCGCTTCGTTTGAATAATTACTTAGCTTACATATAAATAAGTTATCGCTCAATCATCCGTGGGAAATACTATATTACAATTCAATTTCTCGCTGACTCCTTAAAAGTTGTTTTTCTCTATGTGAGGGAAAAATATTTTTGAATTTTCATAATCAATACTTTTTAGTCCAAATATTTGTAATTAAGCCTTGGCAATGGTCTACAATTGTGGTTAATCATTTGGCCTTAGGTTTTGTGGCGGTGCTACAGAGGCAGAATATGTAATTTGGAAAACTTGACGTGAGTATGTAATTGGAATTGACAACTCGGTAACATCTAATAGTATATGTTATTACTGAACATAACCATACCTTAAAGCTGGAAGACCTACAGGTGAAGCAGCATTCGACAGTTTACTGAAATTAAAAACTGGCTTAATTGAAGGTCCTGTTAACGAGCGAACTAAAGATGGAGAAGGACATGGTGATCCCGCCGGACTTTTAGAAGACTGACGTGAATCCCGAGCCGATGATAAGTCTGAAGAGTAATCATCACAACTTTCAACGGTTTCTAATGGCGCACTTTCTAAAGAATAACTCCTAAATCCCATACTCTGTCTCTTGGCTAAAATTTCTTTACGAATGTACATAAAATCACCGGGTTTGATAACTTTCTTGGTTTCGTTTTTAGGTAAATGTTTAGAAGTAGAAGTGTCAATGTCGAGAACACATGAAGCTGTATCTACATCTGTATCTTCCGTACTCACTGCTTCATACCCAGAGGGAGGTCGACCAGAAAGTTTTTGGTGCATTGTGTTAGAAATGGTGTTACCCGTATCTTTGTTTGTAACTTGTTCTCCTGAGTTGAATCGCACAGTCCTGGGTTTACCCTCCTCCGACCACACGATCCGACCTTCCGAATCATCCGATTTTTGACGCCGAACTTTTCGATGAAATAATCTCCTGATATTCACACACACTCTTTGGAACACACCCCCTTCAGTATTCGCAAAATTTGGATCAATTATAAATCTTTCCTCCTCGCCCGTGGGATAAGTGAAAGTGTTATTGCCCCTTCCCTCATGCGGTGAATTTGGACCAGGACGTTTTAGTTTTGGTGACATGTTTCTTAATGTTGACAGTAGATTGTTTCTAACAGCAGCTTTGTGTTGAAGTGGTTTAACTTGTTTTCTATGGGCTTCGATTTCCCGCAACCGTCTTTGACCATAATCTCTTATAATTGACTGAAAGAAGAAAAATAAATGAAATTGTATCTCAGCGAAGAGAGAGGTTATTTAAGGCTTTTTCTTGAATGGGGTAATTTCCATCTTAGAGTGCTATAAACCTTTACATTTATTTTACAAGATTTCATATGCTATAACATGTGTTATAGTTAATGAATCCATCTTCAGGACAGCTGGATACTTGATAGAAACATAATTCTTATTCACTGCCATACATGTATATTTAATTGAAGGACTTGTGACATATTCTTAATCAGAATGTCAATGTAATAAAGGAATAAGACAAACATGTATTTTATCATGAATATGTCGTGACAGAACTTTGAAAGAAAGTACTTAAAACTAATTGCGGTTCTCGTTCACAATTGTGACACGCATCGGAGCATTTACCCTTAATTCAAAATCGTTTATGGGTGACTTATGTCAAACAAAACATTGATTCTTAACATTGGTTTAGGGAACATAACTTAATGATATACTCTGGTACATTTTGCAATGCAAATTGTTAAAACATTGCGTATACCGTAAGTAGTATATATGTAACATGAAATCATTACGATATTCAATGTGATGATAAAAGTGTGGTGGTTCAACTATTGGAAATGAATTCAAGATAACAATACCTCGGCATCTGGGTGGTCTTTTAAGGCACCAAGAACGTCTTCTCGTGACAAAACAAATAGTTCTGAATACCCCAGAGAACGAACATCAGCAGACCGCCTGAAATACAAGACAGGAATCAAATTAGCATGGCAAGATTATTGACAGAGTCTTACATTGTACAACGGGTTCCACTTCGTCATACTGCAGACCGGGGTTGGAACATGGCAAGCATGGTAGCACACTGGTCAAGGAGTTCAGTAGATCGAACTTTATTGCCTCAATAAACACCAGGCACAATTTTGGGTTTTCAACACTATATGTATATATATATAATTGAAACGATTTGTGACTTTGCAGTCCAATCATACCATAATATGACTCACAAATCCCATGCTGGGTATATATAACCTAAATGTCCTACAAAATGTAACTAAGAGTCTTCCCAAATTGTCTTGTGTGTTTTTCAAAATTCGATGAATTAAGTGTTTTTGGCTAGATTGTAACCCTCTTTCAGTCTAGAGCAGGGGTTTTCAAGGGGTAAATTACTTCCTATTCAGTCAGGTTATATTCTCTGACTGAACAAGAAAATCAAGAACTTGTAAGGATTTATAATGGGAAGGAACTATTACGATCGATCCTGAAAGGGGTAATGAAAAGAAAAAGGTTGAAAAACCCTGCTAGAGATCCTTTCGAAGAAATTAAAAGGAAAACCGTTTAGCTATTCAATCGTATAAAAGATATCTGATAGTTTCCGACTATGCTTTTTGACTAGGCATTGAGATTTTAGTAATCCATCTAACCATTAATTAGCAATAGACTCAATGGTGAAGCAATTTCTGCAATCTGATTAAAATGCTTATCTTGTTGTTTTGTTTCGTGTTTTTCCATCAGTTACTCCATCAGTAATGGAATTTCATTTATCCTACCGGAAAGAAACAAGTAGATCTGCGTTAAAAGTCAGATGGATTTTCTGTTACTTTAGATAGATATTCTAATATTCCCCATCTTAAAACTAATAAAGACCGTGTTTCAATGGTTAGAAATGGCGCACCAAGTTTTTTTATCACTGTCAAGTCAAAAGTGGATAATCGATCTTTGTCGTTTTAAAATTGTAAAAAAAAAGATGACAAATGAATCAAATATTCTGCTCTAGATATTTTACTCTCACTGAGTCATGGTCTAGGAAAACAGAAAGATGGTCAAGATACAACGAAATAACAACATTCCTCGTGTTTTCAGTGTTTTCCTTAGTCGACTGTTATTGGCATATGTCTCTATGACGTCAGACAATGTGTGTCTTGGTTTGGATCACTTCCGATAAGTGTTAGTCTTGACACAAAATAGAGCAAGAAATGGCGGTAAATTACTAAGGAAATAAGAATGCAGGCGGTGATTAATGATTTTTCTCAACATTCAATAAGCTTTTCATTAGTCAGGCGCAAAAAGTGTCAACAATCTCGGCTGTTGATATATGATATTTATACGGATGAAGAGTAATTAAGCCAGGTTGAGGGAAAAGGTTCTCTTAATTAACAGTTTGTCCGATAATTTGGATATAAATCTTAAGAAAATGGGATAATGCCAATCTGAATACTGTGTTTGACATAAATATATAGGCGTTATCGCGAACTCTTTACTGGCTTGACATCAACATCTAACATTATTGATAGGTATTGAGAGAAGTTTACAATCTGATTTCACGACTCTTCTTTTAAACAGGAGTTTGACAAATGGATATTTTGTCTCAAAAAATAGTGCCTTCCATTAGGTCGGAACAATACACTGATGACTTTCTTGGTAAACCTTATTGTCCCCGACCCTAGGTCTTCAACTATATCAGTTTTAAGCCCTTGGGTCCACAAGAAGTGAATGAAGGACCCTTCTGGACCATTTTGCTGTTGACTTCTATTCTTTTAGCATTTTGAGGTGCTCAGATTTGATATAGTGCTTTCATGAAGAAGATTGATTCTCGCCGATATCTGGACAAATATATCGGAATATATGAGTGAAAACAGTCTAATCAATGTAGTAGAGTTGGGGTGAAGGATCTACCAGCAATAGATTTCTCATAATTCATCAGTCTGAAGAAGACAACTTTGGTAAAACTTTCAGATTTCAATTTGGTATAATGAAATCTTATACATGCAATGGACCATAAAACCAAAATGATTGGTACACATAGCTTAATATATCTTATTAATCTTAGTTAATTTTAACGAACCCCCATTAACAATAGGAAACGATATTTTTAGAAATTAACTAAGCAGTATATCTTTTTGATTCTAAAGTCAAGTCACGATCTGCTAACGTTTTTTAACTCTTTCAAAATCGATCCTCTGTGACCAATGTTAATGAGGAATAGAACAAATTACGTAAAACTCCATTTCAACGATGCCATTGATGTGTCATTGTTTCATCTGTGGGTTTAAATTATAATACTAATATCAAACCTATTAACACATTATAGTCTTTTACTATACTAATTATCAAGTTTGATTGGAGACCATTTTGAATTCCCAATAGAATAACTATAACTAGTATCAACCATAAGAGGTAGAAATCACCTTTTATCATGCTACTAAATCACAGAATCGTTGTTGAGGACAGTGTTATTATAATAACAGGCAATGACAATAAGGCCATATAATTACTATAGAACATAATAAACGTTTAAAAATATCTGGTTTGAATATGGCAAATCAGCAATAACATAAAATCTCTATTATCAAACCAATGAGATGGGAAAGAAACGGTTACAAATCGACCAAGAATGAGTTATTAGACAGAAATAAAAATATTTTCTCTGTGCAATTAGCATTCCTGACAGACCTTAATCATGGGCCTACAAAACAGCCATAGCCACATTTTGGGTAAGAATTCGATATGACACAGTGTTGCAAAACACCATACAACTATCTGCTCCTAGCATTCAGCTGTGTGGCGATATCAGACCGATAAGGACATATGATTGACAGCTCTTTTTGATTATAAATACCACGTCAATGGCAGTAATAGGGCTTTAAAACATAACGGAAAACCGATCATTGCCCATAGAAAATATGGATGAAGCAACATACCTGTTGATTCCACCATCCAAATTCAAAATTCCAATCTCACCAAAGAAGTCACCTGCTCCCATTTGCTTCAATACCGTTCCAGATTCACTGAAAACGAACAAGCTATATTAAAATTCTACAAACTATCTAACTATTTGTTAAAAAGGTGCTGATACATACAGCAAAAAGCCAGTCATTTCAGAATCAGGGAAAACATTGAATCAGAGAAGAAGAAAAAAAAACTGGAATTATAGGAACCATTTGCAGATGTTGGACGAAAATAGGAATGGTGCAAACAGATTTGCCCGATACATACACATAAAGATATTTAACCGTACAAAAGAAATAATTTTTTTCTTAAAGTTAATTTTTGATAGATATTAAAAAAACGTTCTATCATAGCACAAGATGCCTCAAGGTTAAAATCCTAAATTGGTATTAAAGTTATCCTACCTTATAATTTCCACAAGTCCATCAGCCACAATAAACATTTCCCGGGCCACTTCTCCACGTCGACAAATGAGATCGCCGGGGGTAAAAATATAAGCTTTCATCTTAAGTACTAGGTCATGCAGAAATTCCGGTTGACATTCTTGGAAAATGGTAACCTAGAGGAAAATTGTCATTAAATTGTTTTAAAAAATGCCATCCATTACGAGCTTAAAAAGCAATAATGAGATCTTAATGCAGCAGAGATCTTCATGAACCTTGAACCAAAGCCCATTAGACGAATACGATTTTTTTCTGCTGTTAGTTTTAACTTTCCAGCTGTTTTAACAAACTGTTCTTTAAGAACAATAATCTAGTAATTTCAATAATACAAATTCTTCATTACAAATATCCACTGAGTAAAATCATGCATGGAATTTTATGTTATTCATCATAAGAAAACTTTTTTTCTGACCGGGGATTGAAAAAACTAACATTTTGATTGCAGTAAAAGAATATTTGTTCTGTTCAGTTTCGATACCATAGAGAGTTGGCAACGACTTAACTTATCCTTCCCAGAATAATGGTTGGTCTTTGATCTTGTAAAGAATGAATAAGTAAAAATATCAGACCAGAAAATGGTCATGCTACATCAAAAGTTATAGTCGACATAATAATTGGCTCATACACGTTCTGATATCATGTGCTGGAAAATGTGCTGAGAAATCCCATCTTCACAATGTCAAACTAATACGACCTGCCTCCAATACCCATATCATTAGGCTTGTTTCATTGAAGTATGTAAATGCAGCCATTTGCTTGAATTGTACTCTAGCGATTAGAGCCAATCAGAACCATTGACAAAAAGTATTGAACCTTTTGGCTTATTGTTAACAGACTTTAGGTCGAGGGCACATGAAAATGTCTAATGATGTCAAGGTATTAGACACAGTTCATTCACAGAACTTATTGTGAAGATTGGGAAATCCAAGACCAACTGTTGTAAGTTAGATTGAATTGTTTGTGTCTATTTTAAGACGAACCAGACAAAATAAGATGGTAATTTCACAGAGATTTAATGGTGTTTTAGGATGAGTTCGCCAGGGGTATTCATATAAAGGGTGGCATTGTAATTTTAATAATGCACCAATTTACTTATCGAGAAATACTTCAAATTACCATCAAATAGACACCTTTTACAGTGTAAGAAATTTACATGTTTGATTGACTAGAGTTTTAGATATAAAATCCTCACCAGGACAGCTAGTTTTGAATGAACTTAATATAATATAACAGGGCTACAGGTCTATTTACAAAAGTTCAAGCGAACTGTAGGGTACTCACCTTTTTAAGTGTTTCTAAGTTAACATGGATAGCTAACTCTGTTTTTAATTTATCAGGTAACAACCCAAGCGAATTAATGTCGGCACCGTTTAATCTACCCCTGAAAAATAAAATATTATACCAGTTGGTTTCCATGTTATCATAAGGATAGGCAAGTATCGTATCGTATCATATCTATCGTAACATATGGTTCTTTTCCAGCCCCTGGTGGCTATTTTGAACATTATTGCTGGTGTAGCCGATAACGGTCTAAATATCCATCAGATGTTTCGGACTATTACAATCCATATGTCAAAAGCCGACAACATAGTCTGATAGCGCTACCCTGGATTATCAAGATGGAAAGTAATAATATTTCACTTTTCTTACACTTCTCAGTAAGCATAATATTTTGGTAGTAGTTTTACTTTATTAATTGCTCATCAATTATTTTAAAGAATAAGCTTTCACACTTTCAAAATAACAAAAACGGTTCGGAAATTTTTAAAACTAAATCAGAAGACACAAATCAATTTTAACATTAACACTTCTGACATGAGTTTTATTTCAAATTTGAATAAAATCGATATGGCAACTTTCAGACAAATGTTGTTCAGTACAATTTGCAAATACTGACATATATAATAACTACGCTATGAAATCTATATTGGAATCAGTCTCACATATATAATACTATAATAAAAGTTGCCTTATTTTGAGGATCAAGACAAATCAAGTGTTTTTCTGAAGCGAAAGAAATCTAAATCGCCAGTATTTAGTCATCGTCTCTTTTATCACGGAAAAGCTTTAAATAGTTCTCAGCTAAGACAAAATAAAACTATTTATTTCTTTCTTAACTTTTGAGTGAGGCGGACTTTATTATCCATTTATTATACCTATAGGAAATAGGATTCCTTAGAAAGTCATTTGTCTTTTAAGTAGTCTGTCTGAAACGGAGATATTTGAATACCAAAACGGTACAAAGCGTCCAAAATCAATTTCGTTGGTGTTTGTTTGATTCTAAATTTTGATGAATGTGAAGTCAATCACCGTTTGACTGTCTATTGGGGTTTCGTGAGTCAGTTTTGTTTTTGTCTGAAATGTACATAGTGCTTAAATATTGGTCAAAGTTCGCAGTACTATATATTTTCTTTTACAACTTTTGTAAACTTTCTACTTTGGTCATTTGCAGAACATTAGAACTATCACCGAAATATTTGACCGACATTTATAGAGTTTCATTTCGTTTATTTGACCACATTTACCACCCTTCTGTTTCTTTGAACTACATTTTATGTACTTGTAAAATCCAAGCGATTTTTGTCAAAAACTGCAAAGCAGAAACGAAACCAAAGGCATAGATAATGAGCTTTTTAAATAAAATGTTTGCACACCCTCCCCTCCTCAAAATGATTTAGAATGGGTATATCCATACACCCTGTGCTTCCTTCAGTATAGTTAGAAAGTGTTACTAACCTCGACCAAACATAGTCATACCATCTTTGTACACGTTTTTGTAAATCATGAGGAACATTGTGTGTGGACATGTATAATTTGGCACCATCCTGTAAATGGAAATTTGATTAGAGAAAAAATGTACAAGAAAAAATGCAAAAAATAACATGATAAAGATGCCATAACTATATATTTCAATTGGTTTGTCAATCAATTTCAAAACCGGAAGCTGACACTACGCAAACTTTTATGCCAGTATTCAGACTCTTTATTTAACATGTAGGCTATGTGTTCAGTTTATCCAAAAATGTCGTTCACCATAATTCAGATGAATTTGAATGTATTTCTGAAGTTTTTATTGTTTTGATACCAAAATCAATACCAAACCAACAACCCCGTAGTCTTAAAGTCTGGCAGCACAATGTGAGACAATTCAATTCAATGGGTAATGCATTGACCATATTATATATTTCTATCTATGTTGGTTATTTTTTTAATAAAATATTACGTCTATAAAGACAATGTCATAAGGCTGGAAAGACAAATTATGATTCCCTTGTTTGTTATAACAAAAACAAATAATATTATTTTCTAAAGCTCATGAATCCATTGGGTATCATTTACATTCAAACGATCACGTATATTAGTGGAATATTGCATATTGTTGTAATCCATAATAAATGTCATGGAATTGAATGAATGGAGTATTACGCCTCAATCCGCAAAAAGGCGAGTTACAGTGTATCATGTTTAATAACCGATACAGAAAAAAAAATCTATAAAACGAGGTACGGACACGGTGCTTTTACTATTTCTTATGTATCGATAGCCCTTCGCATCGGTAACTGTAACTCTATTCCAGGCTTTTAAGTTTCATTCGCTCAAAGATGCAGTCAGTGGAATAAATTTCAAGGAGCGTGGTAGAACCAATGTCAGGGTAAAATTGTCAGGTATAACTAGTTATTTAGCAAAAAACAGTATGTGAAAGGGGTCAGTGGCTTTAACCTTACAAAACTGCCATTTCAATCTTCTAGCTAGTTGGATACAATGATTTCATTTAGGCTTTTGACTTAAGATATTAATCTTCGTTATTTTGTATAGTTGATGGATATTCATTTATAAAATTGTTCTTTGCACGATGCCGCCTTTCACATTGACGAAAACCTCCAATTTACTTTATAAACTGTAGTAGGTTAGTTGAAGGACAAAGCTGTCTTGTGTAACTGGTCAGTTGGTTTTGACAGTTCGATATTGGAAATATACTTGTTTAGGTGTCCTCACACCACAACGATTACCGATTACCAGTTGCTTATGGTTGCGAATAATGAAAGTGGTTGAGAGTACCGAATGCTACTCTTAACTCAGTTGAATGAGAGTGGCATTCGAAGCTTATGTCCGCTATTCTTATTTACAACCATACGCAATTGGTAATCGCTATGGTGTGGGCAACCATACGCAATTGGTGATCGCTATGGTGTGAGGGCTCCTTTATCTAATTACTCTATGTTCAATTTGAGTTATTGAGTTATGAAATATAGTTATATTGTCGTCAACATTACCTCGGGCATAATGAGAAAGATATTTATACTCGAACACAAATCGTAAAATTCAAAATCGTAGATAAAAAAGACAACCCTTTAGGGTGTAAGTAAGGACATACATAAATATTGAACCTTTGGAACTCCAGAGCTTCACTTTCGCCAGCCACGTAATATTATTCTGCTATATTTCTCTCCCACACAGCGCAACATATATTTCGAAGCATAAGGTCCTTAACCGTGATAAACTATACAATATTAATATTGAGTTATTAGTATCACTTTTACCTCGAGGGATGTTCTTACATGATTCAAGATATTACTTGTTAAAGTGGAATCTCTAATTCTCAGTTTTTATTCTGTACAACGTCAATATTAATATGATACAAATGTAATTCATACTCATGCCTTGTATGACACGAGATACGTTTCATTTTATATGCTTTGAATAAAAAAAAGGAAACATTTGACTAAGATAAGCAGGTATCTCAACTCGTATTTAAATAAATCTTTCCTTGGTACTGCTGAAAATATGTAGCTATTTGAGTATACAGCGAACGATATCTCTCTGTAACGATATCTAGCAAATGGGAATTCATAAGTATAGTATACAATGGAACAAATAAAATAAAACGGTATTTGACTCCCTACTTTTCTGCTCCTGATAGAGTGTGCAATGATGGAAACTTTGAGAGGTCGATTACATTAGGCGACAGGTACGCTACAATTCATTTCTGTGTTCATGGTAGCTGAAATTCTCTTCGCTGAGTAAATATCAATCACCCCAGGGTCCTGGAACTACAAGTTCTGTGTTGTAATATTAATGTCAATTAACTGGCTATAAATTAACTTTATTAAATGATTGTCTGACGATCAACTTATTAATCTAATATATTCAATAATATTCATACTGTAAGAGATTGAGTAGTGTTTAATGGTTATTGAATGAGTAGGACTGAATACTAAACTATATCAGAGTAACAGGGACAAAATGGAATAAACGATTTTATAAATAGAACAACATAGACATTTTCGTCCCAGTTATATGAAATGCTTTGATGACTTATATGCGAATGGGAAAGGGAAAGGGCTTAATTGAGAGTTAACTTTAATCAAAACTCGTCTAAAGAAACAAGGCGAAATGGAAAAACATAAATTTCCATCAAATTTACAATCTTCACGTTTCCATTGAAATTTGGAAAACCAGTATCAAAGGCTGAATGATGTTTCTCAAAAGAAAATACACGAATAAGCATGTTTATGTTCTTATCCTTTCCATCGCAATTCTGAAAACCAATACCTAAGTCATAACCCTTTACAAAATTGAAAACTAAAAGTAAATGAAAAGTGGATTTGATGAGTGTTGCTGTTGTGTGAATGGTAAAATTATAAAATCATAAATTATTGCTTTAATAAGTGAGTAAAGTGCTTACAGTCGTAACATTATGATAGAGAGTTTTAGTTTAAGCTTCGATTCGTTGAATGTAGTAAACACCAATCTAATCAACATATTATGTTCTTGCGATCGACCAATAGCCTTGACAGTTACTTGTATGAGGTCAAACCGTCGGAGCAAAGTTGTCGGCCCTTTGATCCAGACAAGAAACACTCATCAATTCTTGAAAAATCTAATTAAATCAACTTTCTTCTCTTGTCTTATTTGGCACCTGTCAATATGGCATCCATTTCTTTCAATATCAATTTAATAAACGGGTGCTGGAGTGTCTAATGGACGTCGTTGGAGACCGTTTCAAGTCATTGAAACCCATTGAAGACAATTCAATATGGCGTCTGAACATAAAAGGGAATCAATCTAACCGTGTATATTTATCCAGGTTTCTACTGAAGATTAAATCTGTAGCGTTGTCATTGTTGAAACATGTAGCTAAATTGTTTACGATGTTTATTCTAGTTTTTAAGTTTAATATTTTGTCTGATGCAATTATTGGAAAGAAGATTTTGAGGATCGACCGAGGCGTGAAGTATTGACACCTTTCTCAATAAGAACCTTACTGATAGAAAATCTGACTTACATTTTGTTTTCTAATTCAATTTAAAAGGAAATAAGATTGTAAAAGTATCGAAACTCTCAGAAGACACAGCAGACAGAGCATTGACCAAAAAATTCTCGAGTTTGTAAGACAAATCTGAAATCATACGACCAGAGTTATTTTCTAGAATCAAAGGTTGTGGTACAAAAAGGACCACTGGGGAACAGCCAGTTTTTTGCAATTTATTCTCGAAGTTTATCTATCAATATTTTTTTAGAGTTTCGTCCTTTAAAGTCATTGTTAAAGGCTTGACATTACTTCCTGTACTTGACATTGTCTGTTATCAGACCATAATTTATGTCATCATAGAAAATACCCTGTAATGATGGCCATATTTCCTGTTATTTGTCCTGGGAATCGAATATCATTTTCACTCTTAGATAAAATTTCTTGATATAAAAGCAATTCATCGGATATCTGATTATCGTTGAAACCTGATGACTGACTAACGTAGACATATATTAGCAGATTGAGAGAGACAAAGTTGATCTTAATTGCTGCCCCTTTGTGGAACCCCAATATTGCCTAATGAAAAAATGAAATGAACGTTTAATCTTATGATGTATCAGAGATGGAAAGTTGCAAATGGATGTTTTCATATCCTTGAAGATCACCACAGCACATCATACTGATAAGCGAACATAGAGCCTCTAAAGATAATATGCTTCCTTTGGAGAAAAAATGCATTATTTGCAAGAAATAAGTCAATCAAGTGTACAATCTTATCCAGATGGAGTGGATGGGACACAAAACAATGCAGGTTTAACAAAAATAGTGCATATCATAATACGTTTTGGACGCTTTGGAGGTAGAGAATACAAATAGAAGTAGTAATAAAATTACTGTTATCTTAAATAATGACGTTGGTTTTCTATCTTGAGTGAATAATTTGTATTTGAATGTACATGTTTTACTATAAAATAATATCAAATAACATTCATAGACTAGTTAGCGGACAAAAAGGTGAACGATCTCCGACCAGTTTCCATTTTGATGGAATCATAAGGCGTAATGATGTATTCCAATATACCGGAAAGGCCAGTCAAGTTATTAATAATGTCCATACATAACTGATAAGGTGATGTCTTCATCTGACACTAGCGTGAAGTTAATGTCTTTTTAGATTTTAAGACATAACCAACGCGTTCAAGAGATCAGTGGTCAATTCAAAGATGACCGACTTCTTATTCATATTTCTTTACCAGAACTATTTCGGCCGAACTCATGAAAATTTGTTTTCACCAGCAAGCCATACATTTATTGGATTTAGTTTATATAGTACAAAATCCAGATTCAATTAAGAGAATCTGTTGTGTTATTTTTAGCTTATAAATAAAGTGAGAAAACTCCAGCAAACGAACCATTATGAAGAGACCCAGCAGAACATGATGTAATCCAGTCTGTTCTTGGGTAGAACGAATATAGGTACTCATTGGATACAGATTATCTGGAAATATCATTTCCAAAATGTTTGTCAGAATACCAACAAGTAGAAAGATGTAAGAGAGTCTGAATTGTTATTCTTAGAAAAAATGGATGTTCCTTTATTTTTATTTTTACAAAGCAGTCACGTAAATGCTTATAAGAAATGTAAGTATTAAGTAAGTAAAGATGTATTTCATCTTATTTTTTCCACTTCCGTCGCTTTTATTTCAAGCTAGGGCGATACAAATTTTGGAATGTGTATAGAACGTAAAAAGAAATAATAATCAAATTTAAATGGTCTCTAGCACGGATCAAGTGATTTAGGTCACAAGATTAAATGGGATAAAAGTAAGCTGATATTGTAAATTTCACTTACCAGTAACCGTTCAAATTCTTGACGACTTGCATTTTTATTATTTATCACATTTCCAACTTGGCCTGTAAAAATCGATTAAATAGTGTTGAAATGATTTCATTTCTACTTCATCACGTAATTATATCCTTTTATACCTTGGAAGTCATTAATTTTCGAAAACCTCATTTCTAAAGGAAATGTTCTTAAAAATGTGTTATTCCAAGCATTTCCCATATTTTTAAGACGCGCGAAGCATAATGACAGAATAGTACTAATAAACTTACCCACAATTGTTGCAAATATGAAAACGCCAATTAAGTAACTCACGATAACAAATAAGTACCTAAAATAAAAAATATAACTTATCTTTACATCTCAATACATATATAATTCAGCAATAGTAGTATTTCGATATGTATAAATAAACTTATTTCATATATAAATATATTACATATATAATTAAAGTTCATGAAATATATTTCATGTATAAATATATTCCATGTATAAATATATACTATGTATAATTATGGTCCATGTAAATATATTTCAAGTAAATAAGGTTCATGTATAAATATATTTCATGTATAAATATAGTCCATATAAAATATAGTCCACGTTATAAGTATATTTCATGTATAAATATATTTCATGTATAAATATATTTCATGTATAGATAAAGTCCATATAAAATATGTCCACGTATAAATATATTTCATGTATAAATAAAGTCTATGTACAAATATATTTCATATTGATCAAAGTTTGTTTTGAAATTTCCTAAAAAATGCCTTTGTTATATCTCAATTTAAAATGTACATTATTAAAAAAAGGTTTAATCCCTATGACTATAGAAAGACATTAAATTAATTAGTACAAAAACACAAAATCTAACAAAATTGAAAAACAAAAATTACATAATAGCTAATGACAATGTTTACTATAAGAGAATAATATTATTCTGAGAAATCTTTGATGAATTTGACAATGGAATCAAAAGGTAACGATAATCATAACTACAACATTTAAACAGCAGTGAAATTTAAAATACAACATTTAATTAAGTTTGGGACAAACACACGCAGTTGTCGATAACTTCCATTTGAAATCGAAATAACAGAATTCGTGACGAAATGTGAAAGAGTTCCAGTCCAATTTTCAATGCTGAGCTGCAGATGAGCATCTTTGATAAGCATACAAAAAATAGACTAGTGCCTTCTTTACTTAGGTAGTCGCCTCAAATATTAATGCTCTTTGAATGGTTTCAAGCCAGTTGCTTAAGGAAAACTGACCCAACGATAACGGTATTTTTACTTTACTTGTCTATATATCGTGCTTGAAACTAAATACATTGACACATGTAGAAAAAAGGATTGTCTAACACAAAACTACAAAGAATCGGAAACAGTTTTTAGTCATAGAAAATTTTATATTATATGATTGAAAAATGCATTTATCATAGGAGTCCAATTAATGTGGGAGTTTGAGATGAAATTTGGAAAGGGTAAAATCTGAAATTATAGCGATTTTTCACAACTTTTAATAAGGAAACAAAATTGAGTTCTGACTTTGCCGAACCTTTGAATCTTGTGTTAGACATCCATTAACACCGAAAGTCACTTACTGCAAGTTGGACATGTTCCAGCTGTAAATACCAAAAATATTAGATTAATTTAGGGGAACTGCAGATAAATGCATATTTCTATATCATATTTCGATTTCCAAACATTACATTCACATAACGTACAACATAGATAGGCATGATAGATGGCATTAAAAGAATCGATTACGATTATGTGTTTGTATCGTGTGTTTCAAAAGGTTAACTGTCATCCTATATCTCTCTTTCCGCATTGCTCGTGAGAACTGGATCGAAATAATATTCTATTCACGTACATAATTTAAGACATTTTTTTGTAATTATATATTTAGATCATTTTTATATCGCTCTACAATTGATGTATTGAGCACTATTTTAATAGTGAAAATAGTTTATTATTGTATATTTTGCTATTTTTATATAATTATATAGCTAACATTAATTCACGTTAATTTTAGTAAATCATTCATCCTAATGGATTTCTATGTATATCTGAAAAAAAATATAGCTACTATTTGCATCATACCGATTTTTCTTCTATTTCAGAAAAAAAACGAATAAACCATGGCGACACCATAGCAAAAACATTTATCCCCAATTCAGCAATTTTTAGAAGGTATCGGGCAGAACGCATCAGGTGATGCTTTCAATACCTAGACATATAACGGCGTCTATATCGATCATATGCCATGCAATCCAGATTCCGTTGGAAAGAGTTTTCAGTTCTCACATCATGTTTCGTCTTCATGTCAAGATGTAGACAAATATATGCCTACTTACAATTATAGTGCTCTATCGCTCAAAGGTTATAGGGTGACGTGGGGGCGTTTGGGTTAGTAGGGTTATAATGGCAGAAGTGTTCATTTAATTATACACAGTTGTCAAATTGAATAAAATTGTAAAAGGATATTGGTTGTCACACTTAGGCGTGAATGGACTTTAAGATGTTCCATTAAAAAAATATAGAGAATCAGGTCTTCCAGTGCAAATAGCTCAGCCGATAATTCGATATAGTTTTATTGGTTTCCTTTTGAAATATTTGATCTAATATTCTTTGGAAAGTACATTGAGCATATTCAGGATTATATTTGACCAGAGATTATGCCTTGTTCTGGTCAGCTGGTTTAGGAAATCTGCCTTAATTTTTCTTTATCGAACTCATAGAACAGGATAATGAATACGTAGACTCGACTCATATCTAATTGAGTAGAGCTCAACAAATGTTGCCTATTCGTAGCTACTTTTGTAAAGAAAATGGGGATTATTTTTGAAAATTTTGACAAAGAGTTTACATGAGTTTGCAGTGTAGCACCTCTACACTAATAGATTAGCAGATCAAAAGTGGTCGTAGATAACATTATAAAGCAATCTATTTCCAATCATACACCAATTAAGCCCCTCTCATATACATATACCCAAACCCCTTTCTTCTAATAGTGTATAGGCTGGTAAGTAAAAAAAAAATTACATCAGCCAAAATTATTTCTTTAAAGGTTTCGAGAGCAACCGAATACACAACGTGAAAGACAGGCCATGAATAACAATAGAAATATGATTAAAAATGACAGCCTACAATCTTGGAATAATAGAAAAAGTTAATCAAACGTACATAGCACTGTCTTTTCTTTCAACGTTTTTTTCCTATATGAGATTAAAATACTGTCCAGACATATCTTATAGACAAATGATTTGAAGTGTAATTCTATGTATGTAAGGCTGTCAATATGTCTTTGGATACAAGGGAAGAAAACTTATCATTTTTTTCATAATTTAATTGGAAACAGGATTCAATGGTAAAGACGCACGGCGACACAAAACTTGTCTTCCAGATACAAACTACGTATAAGAAATCTATTAAAAATCAAAGAAATAATACATTGGCCTCTCAGGCATTCAATAATGCATTGGCTTTCAAGCTTTGAACAATACATTGTCTTTTCAGGCTTTCAAAAATACATTGTCTTCTCAGGCGTTCAATAACACATTCACTTTTTAGGCTGTCGACAATACATTGGCTTCTCATGAAGTTAAATAATACATTGGCTTTTCAGGCTTTGAACAATGCATTGGCTTATTTAGGCACAGTTCACAGTTTTATATAGTATTTGAAGAAAAGCATGTGATATTGATTGATGCAGTGTTACATAATTTGTCTACGAAACTGCTTTCGTATATATGCTTATGCTTATATGTTATGTGTCCAAGATTTGCTTCCAGCAACCAATTTCAGGCTGTTTGTAGGAATTGTTAAGGTAATTGCTCGTTATCTGTCTAAACTTATTTGAATTGCAAATGATTCCAAATTTAATCAAAAACATATTCTTTAGAACATAAAGGACTATGTTTTTAACCGAAGTGAAAGAAACAAACATTTTGTGCTTCGAACTTACAAACTACATCTAACTATAACTTTTTCTCACACATTCCTATCTCCAAAATCTTTTATTTGAACAGAGAATGTTTACAAGCCAAAATCGATGTTGGTGTACCAAGTTTAAAGACTTTCTTTTCCTCTGAAAGGAACCAAAATGAGAAAAACTGAGATGGGTAATTTGTATATTGATTGTCAACTCTCAATTGGTGTTCTTCTTCTAAAAAATCCATAAATTGAACGAAACTCCTAGATGAAAGAGCAACACCAATTCAACCCTCAATTCATAATTATTTTAAACCATTTCACCTCTATTAGGAACATGTCACGGTTTTTATTAGCTTTATTTGATACAAGTTTTCAAACTCGACATTTATCAAGAAGAGGCGGATTATGAGATAAATGTTACGATTCAAAGCAATATTTCAGAAAAAAAGAACTTCCAAATATTTTACCAAGATATAACTTTGATTCTCGAGGACCGCTTCTACCAGCTGATCCTTGAATCAATGCATGTCGAGATGGAATTTTCATTTGTGATAAAAATATAAATAAGTCTATCTAAATGATTTCCCAAAAACTATGAAAGTTGACTGACACAGGCGCGTTAAGCTCAAAACGTTTTTGACCTGGTTGACGAATGACCATCAGTAGAGTCAACAAACAATTGATGTGATATTAAAACCAGAGAAAACGATATTAGCTATGTGAACTGATATTTGATGGATTCTGACTTGTTTGTGTTCCTTGATAAAAGTAGTTTTCGTTAGATTTTCCAGCGCTTTTAATTTCCCTTTCTCTCACCAATGATAATATTGATGCTGGAATTGGCACCAAACCAATATTCCATCTATTGAACATGCGACGTAGAAGTTTTAAGAGAACAATTTGCAATGAGGAAAAGGAACAAACTATTCTCTATTCGCCATCTATCAAATTGGAATAAAGGAAACAACATGGAATCGAACAATTTGTCTTATTTATGTGTACTCTTAGTATACATATTGGTCAAATAGAGCTACCGCGGTCATGATTGGGTTCAAGTTGATTTAGATATCAGTCGATGATTGTATGTAGTATACAATTTATTTCCATCATTAAATGGAGAATATCATTTATCTTTTGGACAATAAACGTGATAAGAAAGCTGAGACTAGGATATTTGTCACCGATAATCGAATTATGGTACTTAGAGTCATCTCCTGCTACCAAAATAAGTCATCTAATGTCACATACAGCTGAAATATCTGGTTAAGTTATTCACTTCATGATTTTGGTCAACTATATTTAGAAAGCGTCGATAAACAGTTTATCGGAAAAGATTTTCTGTAGCTTTATATCGAATGGTCAGTACCAAATAAGTAATTATGTTAA